TACATATATATATATAACCCTAATTACACGTACACGTATTGATATAATACAAACATAGCTATACATTACCAACCTTGAAGGTGCCTGGGAGGTTGTCGCAGTTGGCGTCGTTGCAGTCGTGATAGTTCGTTTGGCATTCGTCAATGTCAGCGCACACTCCGTTGACGTGTTCATAGCCATCCGCACACCCGCAGACGTAACTGTTGCCCATCTGAACCAGACACAGACACCGGACGAATGGGAAGCGAGTGCGTATATGAGTGCATGCATACGTAACATGCATAGGTATTATAACATACATATGATACATATGCGAACACTACATATGAAACCAATGAGACATACTTATAACATTCATACGTAAACACTACATATGAAATCACTGACACAGACTTATAATATGAATACATAAACACTACATATGAAACCAATGAGACGTACTTATAACATACATATGTAAACACCACATATGAAATGACTGAGACATACTAATAACATACATATGTAGCCACTTTACATGAAATGACTGAGACATACTTATATCATACATATGTAGCCACTTTATATGAAATGACTGAGACATATTTATAACATACATATGTAGCCACTTTACATGAAATGACTGAGACATACTTATAACAAACACATGTAACCACTTTACATGAAATGACTGAGACATACTATAACATACATATGTAGCCACTTTGTATGAAATGACTTAGACATACTATAACATATATATGTAGCCACTTTGTATGAAATGACTGAGACATACTTCCTCGCAGGTGCTAGTGATGTCCTCGGCGATGGCGACGTGCACAGGGGGGCACTGCGAATAAAAAAGATATGATGTGGAGTGAGATATGTGTAGATATCAACAGGTAGGTAAGTGATATATAGAGATATGTGTAGGTAACAACAGGTAGGTAAGTGATATATAGAGATATGTGTAGGTACCAAACGGTAAGTAAGTGATATATATATATATATATATAGTTGTGAGAGTAGTATTGATCCGGTGTTACATACATGTAATTTATGAATCTGGTGTGTGCATGTACCTTGATGTATATAGTGCTGTGGGAGTTTGCTTGGGATATGCTGTGCGTGTGCTACCTACACTGCCGTTTCTATTAACAGAACACCGCCGCACAACCTCGGCCAATCAAATTTCCCATCGCTTATGCACCTGTCCTCTATGAGACAAATAAAACACACCACATCGAGTGAGAGAGGTAATAGGTCCTCTGAGATATCTTAGGCCAAGATTAAACTCTACAACCCTACAACCCTAAAGCCAGCACATGCATTTGGGGATCGTGTGCCACCTTAACCTGTGGTACATTCAGGAACATCCCCAACGCACAACCATCTAGCAACATACACACAAACACATATGAAAAGATGTACACAAACACATGAAAATATGTACACTGGCACATATGAACATATGTACACAAACACATATGAACATTAGTACACGACAGCTTCAACACCACCCAAAAGACAAATAACAGTACGGGTTTATAGTTCACAGGGGGCCGATTTAACTTTGAACCAATCAGAACAGCTGGTAGGATTTTTATCTCCTAATTACGGTCAACCAACTACTCCTCAAACTACATATGAACATATGTACACAAACACATATGAAAATATGTACACTGGCACATATGAACATATGAACACAAACACATGAATATTAGTACACAGACACATATGAACATATGTACATAAACACATTGCTACATTCACACTAAAACATATGGCTACATTCGTACTAAAATATATGGCTACATACGTACGTAGATGTACTGACATATATCCGTGAGCTCTCATGTGTATCACAGCAATGGGTTCTATTGGGTTGTTAGGGTTCTAGGGTTTCTAGGGTTTTAGTCCCACTCATACGCCCACGTGCGCCTACCTTCATGGTGTGGCCTGCAATGGCTATGCACTCGTCGGTGGTGAATGTACAGTCCTGCAACGGCACGTCAATGAAGACGGCGTTGTCCACTTTGTATGTCGTGTGCAGTCGACAGTACGCGCACAACGGAAACAGCTGCAGGAACAGCACGCCCAGCAGATCCTGAGAGACCCCGGGCAGGGGAGGGGATGAGTCATGCATGAGTCATGGGTGGCAGGAGAGTAGTGTATGAGTCATGCGTGAGTCATGGGTGGCAGGAGAGTCATGCGTGAGTCATGGGTGGCATGGGAGGAACGTATGAGTCATGCATGAGTCATGGGTGGCAGGGGAGGAACGTATGAGTCATGCATGCATCACTTCTGCATCACACAGGAGACATGTATCCGCTGACGCTAACATTCGTAAGCAACCGCACACGTGCAGCGACCATCCACTTCCCACTTAGTCTCACAAGTATTGAGACAATAAGCCCTATACTAAAAAAACCTAATATAAACTCGATTATAAACCTTAAATAACCCCTAAATAGATCCCAAAACAATTCCTAAAACAAATATCAAAATAACCCCTCAAATAGCCCCTCACGACACGTACATAGCCCCTCCCCCCCCTGCGCATACCACGGTGTTGATGAGCGTAGTTGCGTTGGCTGATGGCATTGGCTCGATGTGACTGGGGATGTCTGTGAACATGCGCTCCAGCGTCACGCTGTGATCCAGCTCCTGTGGTTTAATGCCTATGTCTCTCCACACACACACATCATCAAACGACAGGCCGTCCTTATCCGCTTCCATCAAATCCTCAACGGCAAACAGGATGCTGCAGCACTCGGCTACCAGCAGCTGCCCTGTCAGATCCAGTTGGTTGAGACTGGCCAGCCCAGAGAAGCCGCCCTTGCTAATGCGAGTGATGCTGTTCTCGTTCAGGAAACTGTGGCCGTGGGTGGATGGGTGGGTAGTGGTTAGTGGGTGATGGTGTGGTTACGTGTGATGGTGGTGCTTATGCACAAGGACATACGTGAGAGTGAACGTGGTGCTGTTGTTTAACTATCTATTACATCCGGTGCACATGTACATAACATATACATAACATGTGCATAACATGTACATAACATGTAAATAACATGTTCATGACACGTATATAGCATGTGTGTAACAATATCTCATCTGAACGTGTGACTTGTATATGTTTTGCGAGTATTTCTGAGAGTTTCTAGTGATGGAGCGTGTTTGACTGTACCTACTCCGTCCAAACACCTGTCGTGCTCTGGGCTCATGTAGCTCTCATTCGACATCACAGATCTAATCTTGAATACACACACAATCAGAAACATAAACGTATACTGTCCTACACATTCACGTTTAAAACACCTGTACGTGTGTGTGTCATGTATTCGGGTGTTAGCACGCACCCCAATATCACTGCATTCCCCTGACATCAATGGATGCCATCTACGACAGGGTTAGGGTTTAGGGTTAACCCCATCAATGGATGCCATCTACAACACAACACAAAACAACACCTCTACCAACAGATGATGCGCACACAACACAAATGTGTGTATGTGGTACAATGTGTGTGCCCACATGTGTGCTTGTGTTGTAATGAGTGTGTGTGCACACATGTGTACGTGTGTTGTAATGTGTGTGTGTACATAACATACAGACTTTGCAGATGGGTCAGATCGCTGAAGGTTCCCATGGCAACGGTTGTGAGGTTGTTGTTGTCAATGCGCAGATGCTTCATGTCCTGTAGTCCTACCAGTGAATTCCGGGACAGGGCCGTGATCTGATTATGTCCCAAATCTCTGCAGCGAAACCACGAGATAAAGAAAATGAAGAACTTAAACGTGTCATGTCATTTGTATGACAGCACCGAATGGGCTACGTGTGTGGCTAAGGATATGTGATCTGTAAACCACATACCTACACATGCACAGACACCGCACACCGCCACAGTCCTTGGTACACTAACCATGGCCTCTAGAACGCACTCGTCTGTACACTTTAAGCACTTGCCAGCAGTATACATATATACGCATATACACATACAACATATACTACATACATGTAAACTATATACATGTACTACTATATACATATAAAACTATAAACATGTAAACTATATACCTGTGCTACCATATACATATAAAACTATATACATTTAAACTATGTACATGTACTACTATATACATATAAAACTATATACATGTAAACTATGTACATGTATAACTATATCCTTGTATAACTATATGCACGTCTTTATAACTATATCCATGCACACCATATGCCCAAGTACGCCCCCTCAAACATCCTCCCCAGCCCTACTCACAACCCCCCCCAAGGGCTACTCACAGGCTCTGTGGGTTGATCCATCCCACAAACGTGTTGTCCTCAATCTTTGTGATCTGATTCTCGGCAAAGGAGATGATGGAGATCTCACTCTCCGCAAACAGGTTGATGGGCAGGTGTGTGATGTTGTTGTATTGCACACTCAGATAGTATGTGGCCATATGCGAGAACACGCCCCCCGTCAGACCCTCGATGCCCAGGCCCTGCAGAACAGGACGGCGCACCAGTTGATCGTGTGTAGATGGGTAGGTATGGAAGGTGTGAAATGTATGGAAATAAGAGATAAGTAGGTATGGAAGGTGTGGAAATAAGAGATAAGTAGTTATGGAAGGTGGGGAAATAAGAAATAAGTAGGTATGGAAGGTGTGGAAATAAGAGATGAGTAGGTATGGAAGGTGGGAGAATAAGAGATAAGTAGGTGTGGAAGATGTGGAAATACTGAACCCTCAAGCAAAGGACTCGGACCAGGGAGCCGTTAATAGTATGTGGGAACCATCAACGCAATGCGGGCAAGGGTCTAGGGTTTAGAGTTTGCACACTTAGGCCACAGAGGAGTGCCTCGTAGAGTTTAGGGTTTAGTGTGGCGAATTCAAAGGGACGTGAACGGCGAGCGTTAGTTGGAATAACACGACCCATGAATAAAACGGCTCACTTGGCTAAACCCGAAACACAAAACCCTGACCTTAAACCCTAAAACCCAAGACTTTAAACGCAAAACTCTAAGCTATAAAATCCTACACCCCATACGGTAAACAAGGCTGACACCCTAAGCCCTAAACGGTCTACAACACATTATTTGAGACTAACTTATAGGCGTACACACATCACATATAAATCAATTGATCGCACGCCGAAAACCTGACGGTTGAACATGGTATTCAAACTAAACAGAAGACGATGGATGATGTGTGATCTCAACATTACGCTCAACAGCAGTTGACACAAACAAAGACACTGAAAACTACCTACCAGACGACAGGAGAGAACCACAGAACACGCGCAGCCCATGGGGAGATTAAAAACGAAACACCAGCAACGACGAAAAGATATGACTCATAACACCACTTACGTCTAATGATATGGCTCATAACTCCACTTACGTCTAATGATATGACTCATAACACCACTTACGTCTAATGATATGACTCATAACACCACTTACGTCTAATGATATGACTCATAACACCACTTACGTCTAATGATATGGCTCATAACTCCACTTACGTCTAATGATATGACTCATAACTCCACTTACGTCTAATGATATGGCTCATAACTCCACTTACGTCTAATGATATGACTCATAACACCACTTACGTCTAATGATATGACTCATAACACCACTTACGTCTAATGATATGACTCATAACACCATTTGATATGACTCATAACACCACTTACGTCTAATGATATGGCTCCTAACTACCACTCTACGTCTAATGATATGGCTCATAACTCCACTTACGTCTAATGATATGACTCATAACACCACTTACGTCTAAGTTAATGGTGTCACAGCTGTAGCACTTCTCTGTCCCAACAGAACACCCCGAGCCCACGCGGTGTAGATATCTGCAGTAACAGCCACAACATAGAATGTGGACTATAAGCGAGTGAAAGCATTTGGCATGCTCACAATTTTGACCGCAGGAGGTACGAATGCCACAGTATGAGATCTATAATCGAGTGGGATACGACATCCCATGCTAAGCAATAGCAAAGTGGGGAACTAAGGTCAGAGACAGCACTCGGTGTGCTCTCCGCAATTTTGACCGCAGGAGGACGAATGCCACAGTATGAGATCTATAATCGAGTGGGATACGACATCCCATGCTAAGCAATAGCAAAGTGGGGAACTAAGGTCAGAGACAGCACTCGGTGTGCTCTCCGCGAGTATATCCACAGAATAGACCAGCTGCCAAAATGTGGAATATTATCAAGTACCAAGCCAAACCATATTCTCAATTTCGTGCACTAATTGCAGTACGGCTGTGTGCGGATGTGGACTATTCTCGAAATGGCCGCATCTAGAAAGTACACCTAGAAGACTACAGTAATAGCAAGGGCCAAGACACCCGGCCTACATCATCTGCGAAACAGAACGTGAACTGACAGTTACTATTAGTCACACAGGTATCCCAATACAAACACAATACGACGAGTATGTGACTGTACAAAACAAAACGACAACAAGACAATACTACGCACACAGCATACTAGTCGTACAGTCACCTATTGGTCATACACCCACATACTTGTCGTACAGTCACCTATTGGTCGTACACCCACATACTTGTCGTACAGTCACCTATTGGTCGTACAGTCACATATTGGTCGTACAGTCACCTATTGATCGTACACTCACATACTTGTCGTACACTCACATACTTGTCGTACACTCACATACTTGTCGTACAGTCAACTATTGGTCGTATACTCACATACTTGTCGTACAGTCACCTATTGGTCGTACACGCACATACTTATCGTACAGTCACATACTAGTCGTACACGCACATACTTGTCGTAGCCCAGGTACCAAGTATATCCGCCACAGGACAAGACTTCGTAGTCGAACTGACCGTAATCAACGCATGACGGACAGGCGCACGACCCACTCGCTCTATTGCCGCATACACCTACAATACGGTTCAGTGTTTTGCAAAGTATGTCAGTAGGCATGCATGGCTTGCACAAGTTAGATAAGTGATGCGTATGGCATATGTATGAGAAGTGGGGACAATAGTGTTCATGTAGCTATGTGTGGATGGAGTGAGCATTGTATATAGACAAAGGGTTGTGTAGAGGCTGTGAGCGTGATTGGCGTAATGTACTCGTGCTGCCACCAGAGACTGTTGGCTGACGTCTCTCGACAAGGAGAGTGGCTGTGACTGGCCCTTTGCTATTCGCAGTCACACATGGTGGACACCGGTGTCATGTCAGCCTATGTCGTTGACACCATTGACATGACTACCCGTACTATTGACACCACTGTCATGACTTACCATTGACACCGCAACATGGGCGGTCGCTGTTGCCGCGACATTGGCCTACACCACTACCGTCCGGGGCGGGATATTTGGGCCCTGCGATTAATTGGCGCATTAATTCAGAATTAGTGTCGATGTTGCGGACAATTATCAAGAAATAATCCATCCACGAACCCTCCACCGCTGAAGGCAACGCATCAAACTGAGGATTTTGAATATCAAAGGGGCGCACCTAGACAGCCCAGACCAAGCACAGCAGTTGTCATATGTTTTACGGTTTTAGAGTATAGGGTTTAGGTTTTTCTGATTATACTAAACAAAGATTGTCTACCACAAAGGTTATCGTAACGGTATGGCAGGCTTTAGTCGATGTAGGGTTTTAGGGTTTAGGGTTATCTGATTATACTAAACAAATATTACCTACCAAATAGGTTATCGTAACGGTATAGCAGGCTGTAGTCGATGTAGGGTTTTAGGGTTTAGGGTTTTCTGATTTTACAAAACAAAACTTACTTACCACAGAGGTTGTCGTAACGGTATGGCAGGCTGTAGTCGATGTAGGACGAGTGGGGGGCAATCGCACACTCCAGAGACGTCGCGCAACGGTCGTGTATGCAGCAGGGACTGTTGCTGATGGGATTACACTCGCCGACTGAGCATTTTGTGAGCAATAGGGATTTAGGGATTTAGGGTTTAGAGTTTTAAGGGATGAGTTGTGGGAGAGAGAGGGTTTAGGGTTTAGGGTTTTAGAGATTGTGAGTGAAGGAGACGTGCAGACGGCGCGATGTGCAACTAGTGTACCTACACTCGCACTGGTCATTAAAAAAAAAGTTGGTGAGAAAGTGGGGAGATGAGGATAAGCATAGGGCAAGGCGTGCAGCCGAGGTACCACGTACATTCACGTACTGTACGCACCATGCCCTCGTTGTTGCAAATATAATAACGTGCTAAGGACCACATGCATGTGTGTGGTCATGTGTGAGCACATATGGGCAAACGATCCATCAGTCTCCCGAGAGACCACAGGGATACTGCTGGTGCAAATACTGGTGCAAATGCACCTCAAAAATACAGCTACTGGTGCAAATGCACCTCAATAGTACAACCACTGGTGCAAATACACCTCAATAGTACAACTACAGGTGCAAATACACCTCAATAGTACAACTACAGGTGCAAATACACCTCAATAGTACAACTACTGGTGCAAGTGTACCTTAACAGTACAACAACTGGTGCAAATGCACCTCGAAAACACAGCTACTGGTGCAAATGCACCTCAATAGTACAACTACTGGTGCAAATGCACCTCAATAGTACAACTACTGGTGCAAATGCACCTCAAAAACACAGCTTCTGGTGCAAATGCACCTCAATAGTACAACTACTGGTGCAAATACACCTCAATAGTACAACTACTGGTGTAAATGCACCTCAATAGTACAACTACTGGTGCAAATGCACCTCAATAGTACAACTACTGGTGCAAATGCACCTCAAAAATACAACTACTGGTGCAAATGCACCTTAAAAATACAACTACTGGTGCAAATGCACCTCAAAAATACAGTTACTGGTGGAAATGCACCTCAATAGTACAACTACTAGTGCAAATGCACCTCAATAGTACAACTACTGGTGCAAATGCACTATACCTGGATGGTCGGCATCCGCAGGAAATGATGGACCGCAGAAGCCATCCTCTCGCCATGGCATACTACGGTAGTCAATGCACGTGGCACAAAGGCAGTGGTCTCTGCACAAAGATAATTACAAGCACAGAAAAGGAATAAGGGACGGGTGTCTGTTAAGTGAAGACAAAGGGAGATAATAACAATTACAAGCGCAGCGAAGGAATACGGGACAGGTGTCTGTTAAGTGAAGACAAAGGGAGGTAATAATAATTACAAGCGCAGCAAAGGAATATGAAACAATTACACTATAGTACACACGGATAAAACATGTTGAGAGTATAATATGAGTATACAATACATGAGAATACATAATGCAAAAGAAAATCATATGAGAATAAAATACATGAGAATATAAAACATCAGAATATAATGCATGAGAATATATACATGAGAATATACTGCATAAGAATATAATACATATGAATATCATATATGAGAAAAAAATGAATGAGAATATAATACATCACAATAAAATACATGAAAATATAATGTATGGGAATAAAATACATGGGAATATAATATATGAGGATATAAAACATGACAATACAGTACATGGTATATGCGCAGTGATACCCGACCACCTGTATTTAAATAAGCCAGATTGTACGAAAGACACAGCCCAACCGAAAACAACATAGAAGAACTCCCATCTTGTAAATACCTCACACAACCCAATGCACACAGCGCACAAACGAAAGTAATCCACACCGTTGTGAAAGGACACACGTGATAATGGATAGCTGAGTACAATCAACAGAGAACCCCCCACTGAAGCACATTTTACATATATGTATAAACAAATATTTATATACATATAAATATATATATATACAAACACCCCGTAAGAAACCTCCAGAGAAGTGAACAGCTGCTCCAAGCGGGCGTAATTATCCACATCACTACACACAATGTATTCATTTTCTTTCATGCGATACGCACTCACGCAAGGTGAGATCTGCATGGACGTGAACAGCTGCACGCAAACACGCATGGAAAGAAACAGGAAGTAGTACGGGCCTGTCTCGTACAAGCAATTGTAGTGGGGGCTAAGTAGCTGGCAAGCAGATACATACTTAAAACAGATACATACTTAAAACAGATACATACTCAAATCAGAAACATACTTAATACAGATACATACAACAGATACAAACTTAAAACAGATACATACTTAGAACAGATACATACTTATAACAGATACATACTTAAGAAAATACATAGTTAAAACAGATACATACTTAAAACAGATACATACTTAATACAGATATATACTTACATCAGATACATACTTAAAACAGATCCATACTTAATACAGATACATACTTAAAACAGATACAAACCTATAACAGATACATAATTAGAACAGATACATACTTAGAACAGATACATACTTAAAACAGATGCATACTTACAACAGATACATACTTATAACAGATACATACTTAAGAAAAATACATAGTTAAAACAGATACATACTTAAAACAGATACATACTTAATACAGATATATACTTACATCAGATACATACTTAACACAGATACATACTTAGAGCCTCCACACCACTGGAATTGTGAGCAGCACGGCGCATCAGAGTTTGGATTACAGGTGGCGTTATTTTCACCGTCAGTAGACATATTAGGCCATCCACACCGCAAATCAACCCTCCAAGAGGTCCCGTCTAGACAGATACAAGTGGAGGAAAGGGGGGTAGATAGAGCAGCTAGGTTGGCGAAGAATATACAGTGGTTATGGTAAATACAAAGCTTTATATACAAGTGCACACTTCAAAAGTATATATACATATAAATATTTATATAGATATATGTGTATGTGTGTGTGTGTGTGAGTGAGGGTATATATATATCTGTGTATATATATATATATATATATATATGTGAGCTACATATAATATATATATATA